TTCATTACTGTAGTCTTTAAATCTTGCATAGGATGTGTCTGATGGATAAGCTCGCGTTCTATACGATTAAAATCACTGCTAGCCATAGGTTTCTCCGTATATCTTCTTGGAACAACGTTGCTGACATCTTCTAGATCTGGTGATGCTAGGCCATGCGCTAATTCTAACAAAACATGAAGCTGCCTAGGACTCAAGAATAAAGTAAGCGATCCTAAGGTAATTTCCAATTCTACCTGAAATACATATATTTAATTTCTTCATTTTAAAAGAATATAACACATATTTGAAATCAGAAGAAAATATATATTATTTTAAAACACATTATTTTTTTAATAGAAAGACTAGAATTAATTAGTGAAAATGTTCTCACCTTTGGTCCCGATATTCCTTCTCCTTGTTTCATTTTTAATCTGACTTCTTGTCTACCTGCTAGCTTAGCAAACATGATAGGATTTGATTCATTTGAGTTGTTAACAGCATTTCCTTCCGGAGGAGTGTGCAGAATGCTCTGCGTGGGAGACATTTGTGCAGAGATAAACAGACTATCTGAATTCTGTTGTCAGAAAAATAAATAAATTGTGAGAATTCGTTTCTTCCGAGATGTTTCAACAATTTCAATTTTTTCACATAGATGTTTATATACTTGCCTTAGAATCGGGAGTAGAGCACGTACTAGCCAACATACTTCTAGAAAACGTTCTTGCGCGAGAGGGAAATTCATCAGTATGAAAAGTCACTCCCTCCATATAAAATCGCTTAGTCGAGAACGCTGAAATGATGTAACCTTTCGTGGATTCGTCAGGATCCAGAGACGTACTACTGGGATCTAATCCAGCTTCGTCAGAATATTCAAGATTCTGTATCCACACTTCAATCGCTACTCCCGTCGAAGAATTCAAAGGTACATGTTCCAAACGTATCACAGTATCGATAAATCTCACTTTGACCCTAGATAAAACTGAAATACACAAATGATAAAAATTCTAGTTTTTAATTCAAAAGCACATAGTATACAACTGTGTTACTTGAAATGTGTTACTTGAATCTATAGTCTGTGCAAACAATTCCACCGCCTCTAAAGGCTGAGCATTTCCCGCATTGGCCGCATCTTGTTGCAGACATTCTTGAGCGAGTTGCATACTGGACGTCATGGAACTCCACATAGATTCGAACATCGATGTTCCCGTTTCGATTCTTTGTCGCGGTTGCACCGTGAGTCTAAGACCCTTGACTTCCACATAACTTGCTTGGCTAAGTAACGCCGACCATGGTATACTGAGAGATATCTCTGTTATAAAACCGTCGACAAATTCCAACGGAAGATGTTGTTGCTCCCCCATCTCATTGAGTGCCTATTAAAATAATTATTTATTACAGAATCTTATAGAATATATCAGAGATGTATCTTTCAGTATTATAAATATTAAATATTAAAAAAATATTTGCACAAATAAATAATTTTACTTGTACAATTTTATTTAAAATATAAGTAAAAAAAATAAAAGCACTGCTCGATTAAAGAAAATTGCACAATTGCATTAAGAAGTATCGGAAGAAACAGTCTGTATAAATTAGCACCTATTAACATTCAAAATGTGCAGTAATATTTACCAATGACTCGCACTATGTAACGCTGTGTTTCATTAATTTATTTCATAAATTTAACTGCGTTTAACAATTTATCACAATTATTATTACAATTATAATATGCAATTATAATATGTAATTAACACTTATAATATGCAATTAACACTTATCATGTGTCTATCAACAAGAAAAATATAATTTGTGAGGTAAAAAATTATACAAATGAAAACGTAAAAGAAAATAAAAAATTCAAACGCACGTGCTATTTTTTTTTATTAAAAATGTAATAAACGATGAAATAAAAATGAAAGAAAATAAATTAATAAATGTTATTTCAATATTTATTAATTAATTTTTTATTAATCGTATACATGCACGTTTATCATATTCTATCTACATACAATACATATAAGTGTGTGCGTGCGCACACGTGCACATGCACATGCAGAGTTCACATTAATTGTTCTCTAGGTTAACTATTATAAAGCATTATCTACGTTTACTTCGCCGTATTATATCCATCGTAACAGGAAATTCGTAGCAGAAATTGCATTTATGCATCATTTATGATCGGATGTGCGATGTCTCGCGAGGCATTTAAATGTTAAATCGCGATCAGCTGTTCGAAGGCAACGCGAAGGAAACGCACGATGTAAATCCACAGCGATGTAAATACGTATACGTATTTTGCGCGCAACAGGAATGTGCGCGCTATTTACGCGCAAATGAGCGAGCGATGCGAATCTTATCTATAATAGTTCAGCCTAAGGAAGCCAGAGGAAGGAATCTCATTCATACGAACGAATCCGAGACAAAGGAAAGTACCTGTACGTCGAGGCTAACGTTGACAACCCGTCCCGTGCCATTGTACAGATCGACGGTCAGCTGGTCCAGCGTGAGCTCCTCCAGAAACTGGCCGAGGTAGCGTTGCAGCAGGTACCTGCAGGCCCTCTTCTTGATGTCCGCCGACCAACCGAGCCAAGACATCTTGCTCATCGTCCCACGGAGCCGTTGCGTCGCGCGTTACGCGATCTATCCCGAGAATTCCGGCGTGTCGCGCAGTCCGTAACAGGGTATCATCTCGTCGCGCCAGGCACGTTGTCGCGAGGCATATCTCGGCGTCGAACGAGCGTCCGTTTAGCAACGGGCCGAACGATGACTGTCCGCACGAACGACTCGCGTCTCCTCGACACGCGCACCGTCCGCGTCCATGACGCTCGGCACACAATGCGCGACCTGTTCGAGATCGAGGATCGCACCCGATCGCGTTGCCGTCTCCGACGATTTCTCAATCAATGTTTTTATTCTCGTCTCACACACACACACTGAGCGTCGCGATATCGCGACTCCTTCTCCTCCCCGTCTTTTCTTTCTTCTCTTTCTTATTATCGAATATCCGCTCCTCTATGGAGAACGGTATATATATATATATATATATGTACACACATGCGTAGGTATGTGCATGTGCACGCAACCACTACATACGCCACATAATACTGTGATTTTGCAGCGATTCTCAGGGATGCGCGCGTCGCATCTAGGTATTCGTGCGTTGTGACGTTCAGCGAAATGAGCGGTCAGTGAATACTGGGATTTGATTGTATATTTGTATCTTGCGAACGAGAGGTCAAAATTACAAAAATGAAGAAATTTACTAATTCTCGACGTTTGAAATTGTATGCTTGTAAGTGAGATTTCTTCACTTTTGTAATTTTCACCCGCTTTCAAAATACAGAATTGACTCTTTGGTCTTTAAATTTAAACCAATTATGTTGACAAATTACTTGACCATTGTGCAACGATTGTGCTTGCTGAACGCAATCATATTGGTTAAAAAATTCAAAATTAAAATTTTTATCAATTGATTTAAGACACCAATGAAATCGCGTGATCATGTATGATTAAAATTTTGAGTAATTAGCCCATAATGTAATATTAACTTATTAGTTTAATATTTCAATATTTTT